CTGTAGCTAACATATTGCAAAACTATGCAAATTAATGATTGCACATTTGTTTTCCCGATTCTATTAGATACCGTGAGTTCTTAAACGACAAAAATATACAGATGTTTCTTTCAACGCTTTACAGTCCAGTTTCAGTAGATATCATATTGCAAAGATATATTTGAATTAATGATTGCACATTTTTCTTCGAATGCTCATATCAGTCCATTCAATTCAAAATTAGCATTAACCTAATGAGCTGAAGTAATGATATTACCAAATCTCTTTAATTTATCATATGCATAAAGGTTACATATTTAAACAATCGGGAATAGAACTGGATGTTGTTTTAAAATCATCAGCCTTGAGAAAATTATATTTAAAGATCGATTTTAGACAATCAGGAACACAACAAGATGTTGTTTTTAATGATCACAGTCTTAAGAAAATTATATTACCTGATGAAATTGAGAAGGTATTGTTTTAGTATCAGTTTTATTAGCCCGGCTAGCTGTGAATTACAACCTATCTGGTCCACTCCAGCTACCTGGCGGCAAACCTCAAAGACTATTAATTAAACAGGTAATAAACTCATTTGTTTACATCTTACAAAAACACCTTGATTGTTCATGGTCTTCATTAAGACGAGATAAGGTGCCATGTTTTCTTAGTGTAGAGTGGTATAAGGTGTCCTGTGACAAACTCAGGGTTAAGTTGTCTTTAATGTGTAATATTTCTAGCTTTAGTTCGTCGATTACAAGCCAGACTGCGTTTTGATGTAAAATTTTAATTGGGTTTAATTTTTTGCAGTATGAAAAACATATTTGTATTTTTATTATACTTAGATATTCTTTTCGCTTTCTGTGATGAAATTAGACGCCTACCTCTTTGATTTTACATAGAACATTTACTTTAGACGCTGAACAGCAATCCAAGGAAACTTTCTTAAGGCAATAATTTCAAAATTGCAGAGTCTGAATGGAAGAATTATGCATTTAAAAAAATGATGACATTCAGATATAGCTTTCCGATGTTGTTTTCTCTTCAACTTTATTCCAATGAAAATAATTGCTAAATGTGATCCTTAGCTGACTTTCCTATTGAAAAATGTATTATTTAACTCTTTTGGAAAAAAAAACTTTAAAAAAAACATCCGAATTACTCCAAACATGTATGTTTCTGATGCCATATCTTCCTAGTATCTTGCAATTGCGTTGAAAAGGAGTTGATACGTCATTGAAAATTACAACTTGAGCATTTAAACCCCCGGGAAGAAGTATTATGCATAAGTATAGGTTCAAGAGTATGATGTTCTCGGTAGATGAACATGCCTCCACGACGCGCTAAATATGTCACATTTACAAAAATATATTATGTATTGTCACAAGCTGAGTGACATTGTTAAAAGTGACAATTAAATATATAACAAATGGTTTTCAGCAAAATATTGCATTTGTAGTAAGTAAAAAAAATTATAGATGATATGATATTTCCATTCGATTTGGTTGATATAAAACTCACTTGGACACCGATGCATTATTTTTGTATATTATTGTTGATTTTTTTTTTATAAATTGAATATTCATGAATATATATATTGCAATAAAAATAGTCACATCCTGTCTCCCTATGAACAATAACATTTATTAATTTTTATCAATATTTTGAAATATATTTTAGTTATTGCATTCATCATGCTTTGTTTTTTTTTTTAACTTCATATGGTTATTTCTTTTTCAAACACAGTCCAGTAAACTCATTAGAATAGCAATGAAGTCTGAACCCTTCTTGTTGATTATAATATACATATTTCAAAATGTATACCAAATAAATATGCAGAAATAATTGTGCATATTCTCAACTTTATTTTCTTCATCTAGCTACCCTTTAACCACATGAGTAAAATCCCTAAATCGCATCTCCAAAACTGACCAGCTTCCCTAACCCCCTGGACACCCTAAAACCGCTTCATGCACATCCCTAAATCCAGACCCCTCTTCATGGACACTCTAAAAACGCATCAACAACATCCTAAAGCCCATTTAATGAAGTCAGTAATCAGTCATCTCCTTGTAATTAGTTGACATCTCGTATGATTTCTATTCTTCAACACTCAACAACTCTCAATTGTCTTTTTGTTTCCTACTTGACTTCTACTGTATAAACAGATTATCTTAGGCTAGAGAATTAGCTAATCTGTCTCTAATCTGTAATCCTGACACGGGATCTAATCCAACTAAACTTAACCCTACATATCCCTTTTCTCACGTTCGTATTGAAACATGAAGTAGGCTCGAATTACTGAAATGACATTCTTGTCACCGTTTTACACTTCAAGTTAATGTTTTAACCATTATTTTGTAAGAGTAAGTTATTAAGAGTGATGATGTTAATTCCCTAAAATCTCCTATATAATTCTCCTTATGACGGAAATCTCATTAATATCCTAAATTATGATTTATCTCACTTTCTATCTTGCATCATATTTTTCATTTGCAATTCGTTTTACCTTTTTTAATCAATAATTTGAAAACCTCTGTCCGGCTGTCATGTATTTCTATTTTAAACAACTTTATATAAGAAAACTGGCAACATTTTTCTAATCAGTATAACAATTATAGTTAACAGAATGATTTGCAAATGCAATAGCTATTTAAATAATGTCTAATGTGGTATTGATAACTATTGCACACTTTACTTTCGCATATTTCATTATTTCGACAGGCATGTAGAATTAAAATGTTCTGTTATAAAACCAGCTAAAATATTCAATAATAGCTCGTGGTTCTGCAACCATGTTAGGAATTGAATGACTGTTTTTTTTAAAAAAAATTACATTAACTATTTCAATAACGATTGATGCATTTTTAATATGCTTCAGTCATATAAGTATATATTTGGAATATATGGTATATGATACCGCCCCTGACCGAGCCAAGCATTTCTGCTACCCTTTTGATCCTCAGGTAGCTCTGCGTCATATATATAGAAATACCCAGTTTCAGTATATCCCAAATGAAACCAAAGCGGCAGAATTTCTCTGGTTCTAAATTCCTATGTAATCAATCCGCGTCTTGTAACAATGATCAAAAATGTTTTTTCGAAATGAAGTCCAGCTAAAAGTCGGTACAATTTCTACCTAGAATACGTGAAAAGTAGCAACTGTGTACTAGCGTTTTAACACGACAATAGTAATATGTCAAACTCGACACAAATCCTTCTAAATCCTCCCAAATCTGAGGGAAATGAATTAATTCTGATATTTAAAATATTATCACGATTCACAACTTTATTATTTATTTAACTATCAAATTATAGTTTTAGTTTTAATTAATCTGGTTTATAATAAATAAAAATAACACGTTGCATATTGATTCATTCACCAGTATCATTACCACTTACATATTTCAATACTGAAAGCATAAGCTGAACTTTTATCTGCACATTTTATCTTCATTAGACACAACGAAATGGGCTGTTACGAATGTTATCAACTGTACAAGATGTACTTCTTTTTATCATGCAGCACGATTTACTGCCTCATACATTAGCTGTAGAAATAGAAACAGAAATAGTCTTCTGTAATCTCTAGGAATATTCATCTTTGTGTACAGATAGTTGCGTGTTTCTGCGGTCCCTGCCACGTCTCTTTTTAGAGATGCTGACGCCTTCTCCCCCCTCCCCCCCCCCCCCCCCCTCGCGATGTACAAGCATATGTAGGAGGAAAACGTATATTTGTTACACATGTGCAGTATCTTTTCGCCGCTATCATAGTGAGATAAAATAGAATATGAAATAGAATATGGCGTAACATGTTGTTTATAAAGTGTGCTATGACATCAAATGATTAAATATTAAATTAATATATTGTAAATTGTTCAAAACAAAAAATATACCGAGGTGCTAAATGCATATCGATTGAACCCAAATATATGGTAAAAGATAAAGAGTCAAAATCTCCCTTTAGCTTATACTTTAAATTTATGAGTCAAATTAAATAAACATTTTATACATTATATATAAAACATTTTGAAAATGAAATAATTATAAACAATATTGCTAATGAATTAAACCCTGCGAATTTTAGATTTTACAAAAACACAAGGGACAATGGCATTGTCGTATTTATCGCATCTTCAATGGCTAAACTTAATGTTTCAAGAAACATTCTGTTTATAAATGCATTTTAACCAGTATCTATATATCTTTTACCAAATGAAGGAAAGAACCATAGGATTTTTTTCCAGTAACAACTAACTTCGCCTTGTGGTTTTACTAAATATACTAAGTTTATTTTAGTTTCATTCATAATTAGACATTTTTTTTTTATATTTTTTCATTCATAATACATGTGCAATTGTTTTCCGCCATTTTTCACGTTTTATATCGTCACAATCGTGCAGCGACAGAACTCTGACTCTCTAATAATACGACATATTAGAATAATGAGATAGAAAGACAAGAGAGAGGAAAGCTTCCACTGGGATTAGAAGTAAAAGTTGAAGAAAAATAGGAATTAAAGCTGGACAAATCGACGGGAAGGGCGAAACCCCACAAACCAAAACGTCGTTACTCACAGTAAGCCACGCCCCATGATACCGACAAGTCGACCAATCAGAGAAGAGGTAATGCTATTCAGAAGCAGTAAGCTGTCAATCAACGAGGCGTGATCCAATGAACGTGTGGTGAAGCCCCGCCTTGATACTGTTGTATCCCGTGTGTAAGCTGTATGGTGGTCGACGAGTAGAAATAGACGTGTTTGTTCTATCAGTGTACCATGTTGAAATTTGTTTATTAAAAGTGAATGATCAACTAGTAGGAAACATAACCAAGTTTAATCTTCCTAGTGTTTTTATCTCTATGTTTCTCTGTATGCTGCAGTGAATTCAAGTTTTCACCACAAGATATTAGAGGACTTAGTTAGTCGACAGTCACAGTGTTTAGGATCAGCGTGAAGGGACTTTATGTCGACAAGGACTAACTGTTTTCATCATATTTAGTGAACATACTACACTTTCATCATGATCAACCCGTTTATGGATACGGCTCACACTCCTCATCTACCCCCAGGAGCACTCAAGCTGAGTCCACCTCACATGGGGGATGCTACATCCGGGATGCATGGACAGTCAAATCAGTTTGTGGGACAAAGTAATGGATATGGAATGCCACACAGTCACTCACAAATCAGTAGTTACGCCGCTCGGGATTTTCTGTTACGGCGTGAACATATGGGATACACCGGACATGATACCAATCCGGCATCACATCCAGGTATGTTTGCTCCGACATCCGTCGGATACCACCACTCCGGCCATCATCCCGATCCGACGGCCACCAGTCACATGTTGTTTCCAGGACTCCATGATTCCGGACACCATGCTTCAGGTCATCATGTTCAGAGTCAAATGTTGTATCCACGAGCGGATCAGTTCAACCAGATGGGTGGACAGCGTCAGGATCATTTTGTCCCCTCACAGCATCTCAACCATATGAACTCTATTAACCCACACATGAATATGACCCCGCATGGTCCAGGTGCATTTTTTCGATATATGCGACCACCAATTAAACAAGAACATACCTGTCTGTGGATAGATCAAGACCAACCCGAACCCAGAAAACCCTGTAATAAGACATTTAGCACCATGCATGAAATAGTGACTCATTTAACAGTGGAACATGTCGGTGGACCTGAACAAGGGAACCATGCATGTTTTTGGCAGGCGTGTGCTAGAGACGGACGTGCTTTCAAAGCCAAATATAAACTTGTCAATCATGTACGTGTCCATACTGGAGAGAAACCGTTTCCTTGCCCCTTCCCAGGTTGTGGTAAAGTCTTCGCTCGAAGTGAAAATCTCAAAATTCACAAAAGAACGCATACAGGTTCGTACATTTTCCATTTTAAAATTATTATAAATCTTTTTCAAATCAGGAATTCAAAAATATCTATAATCATCAAATCTTTAATGCAACCAAAAGCGTAAATCGTTATTGCATAAATATATACGAAACATTCATTAAGGTTCTAAAATATAGGCTGATATCTACTACTCAAAACATCTTAATGTAAAATTCTGAATTTTATAATGAGAAAATCTGGAGTCGGAGATTTCTGTATCATTATTTAAATAAATTACAATATTTTAAACATATATTACTGACTGACAGGTGTATAATGTATATTTTATATAAAGAAAATAATATTAAACTTTTGAAATATTAACAAAAAATATTAAAAACTAGATGAATAAACAATAAATTTTGATTGTCGATTTCATTTTTCACTTAATATTTTTGAACAATAGTGAAATTGGTTATTTTAATTGCAGCCGGGTCAAGGCTCGAGTCATCTTACAACTCACTACATTTTCTGAAACGAAATATTATCTTGACATTGAGATGAGCTCTATTCATGTTTTAAACGTGTTACATTAACCCTAGTGTAAAGAAGTGGTTAATAGTTTTTAGGTCAACCCTTAGGTAGCTTGTTCAACATCTTCAAAACGTAAATAATATAGAAAACTCCATTTGAATTCAACATAATATAAAACGAAAATGTTTAACTCAAAACCTGCTTATTATTTCATTCATTAAAGTTTACCACACTTTTGAGTTTTTTTTAAAAACTAGATTTTACTTGTTTACAGTTGTATTAAATATTTATAGATCTTTGTATTTGTATAAATCTTCAAATAATTGGTCCTTAAAATATTAAATTTTGATGATCTAAATGACTCTTTAGAAAGAAATCCAAATCTTGAAATATTTCTTAAGATAATATATTTGAATCTGTTTTGAAGTGTTTATGATATTTATAAGGTTTGTATCGGGTATAATACCCAGCTAAAACCTGATATTCTTAATATCAAACCACAAGTAAAAAATGATTAATCATTTTTTAATGAGATAATATTTCATAAATAATAAAAAATACTGAAATATAACCTGGCTTCAAAACTTGGTTAGTTTACTCAGAAAACAACAGAGTAGTTTAGGTAGTTTTAATAGTATAATAGACCTTTCGTCAATATTTCACATACTTGTACTTCACAAATTTAAGCGAGAAGCCGATGATTATCAATGTGATGCGTTTCTTGGTATGATGCCTTTTTGTAGATTTCTTTGATATATTTATTCAATTGCATTGTATTTGCAAATATATTTTCTTGGTCATTAATAACATTACAAACTTCTTTAATATTTTATTCATAGGCTCTATAATAGGTTTGAATTGCAGAACAATGTGCAATTATCATACATTTGTATGTGAACATTAAAATGGACAAAAATACTAAAATAAGTAAATTATTCGGAAAGTTCTGTGTATTCCGTTTCCATAATTTTAAATTCTAATTATTCCCTTAATGCAAACATTTGAGCCTAACTCGTAGCTCTATTTTCAGAGATTGAAATGTGCAGTGAGTCGAAATAAATATTCCTAAAATCATATTAGATATATAATGCTGTGATGAACAGCTAGTATAAAATTTGAAATGGAAAACTGACAAAAGCTGTTGTGTCTATTGAAATTATAAAATATAAAATTGACAGAGATAAAACAATCGAGTTGAGAGTAGTTAATATTGAGATATGAACACATGTGTTAGAATATAAAATCATAAAGTGTATGATGTTATTATAGAATTATATCACAGAATGAACACTCAACTAGAACTAACTTCAACACAATGCTCATATTTAACTCTTTACTCTTCACTGTACAAATTTATAATTTAAAAAAAAGAATGACATCATTTTATTATGCAAAATATTCAAATAGTCACTCTTCGTAATGCAAATTTGTGACAAACTATCATTTTTTCATTTTGTTATTCAACGATTAAAATATTTACTGTTAAGTTTGAAAGATTATAAACAATTTTATTTAACTCTTTAAGTTGAACACCAGAGAAGTAGGTAATTTTCTATCATAGTATTCTAATGCTGAAATCCACAGTCCCTATTTGTGACCTAGGCCAGTGCTTCTATAAGAGAGTATCTCTTATAAAACCTTATACCAGTTTTCAGTAGCATTACTCCTTCGTTGTTGATTCATTTCATAAACAATGCTGGTATGCAAACAAGATTTATTCTTCAATTATCAACTTGTTTCCAAACCAAAAATTATTTTTTCTAATTTATAAGATATGGCAAAAGATTCTTAACCCAGGGAAATGCTATGCAGAAAAATAATTCATGTTTAAAATGGCATTTTGGGCGAATAACATTAATTCTTTCTTGGCCAAACTTTTCCACAATTTCATCAGAATACAAAATTAGATAGAAGCACGAAGTTTTTTGTTTAATCGAGAATAACTCAGTATGTAAAAAATGAATAAAATGAAAGTTGCACAAAAGGATTATTCCAGTGCCTATTTCATTTTTTATCTTGTTACATTTCTGGAGACAATTAACTTGAAAATAACTCACGTTAGTCATTAGGTTAAATACAGAACAAGACTGGTTTTATTCATAAATTGCATAAAAACACGAATTAGTATAATTTAGAATATAATTCACGTTTAGTTCATTTATTCTAACACCACGATACACGTGTCTCCTTTTCTTAAGAGCTCTCGGGTCAAAAATAGCACGGTTAAATTTTAGTCAATTCGACATGTTTATCTTAATACGTTTATGTTTAACATGGAGAAAAGTGTTGAAAATTTGATGTTAACTTTATATTACATTTTTAAATTAAAATATATATACAACTTTCAACTTCGTATTACTGCCACAATTTAATAATGATTATGAATAATTAATATTCACTGTCAGATGGTATCGTAAACTGGCACTTTATAAAATCCGGGAGATAGGATTTCAGAATTAAGCACCTTCTTAATATAAATTCGATATGACTATATATTTCCAATACATAATTTTTTATACGTACTATTACCGTTTATTTCCCTGAATTGTATGTCAAAATTGGAATAATTTGGTAACGTATAGTGAAGTATTACCATACTAAAAGTCTTTGTGGTTTTGATTATTAATGTGAGTAACTCTGAAGCAACCCTATCATCTAACTGTTCTAACTAACTAGCATGTAAATACAATTCAATTTTGTCTTTTTTTAATGCTGTGCATCAAATCATATAACACTGAAACATAAAATGATCAATTGCTTTAAAATGATGCTCAATATTATAATATCAGTGATATGTAGAAATAAGAAAAATTCTTATAAAATTTGAATTGGATGAAATGAAATAGTTAATAATAATTCGGTCTTAAAAATAAATCTGATTAATAAAATATAGAGAGGAAAGTTAAGGAGAAAGATTAAGCCATCAATCGTTTGTTAATCATTTGTTGATAGTTTGCTTTAAACCCGACTTAATCACCAGCAATTTGTTGATCTAAGACGGTGTTAAAAGCGCGGAAGAAGGTGTAATACTATTACCCGCTCTTTACAAGTGTAAATAAACAGTGGATGTTAAGTTGTTGTACAGTGAAAGACGTTAACATGTCTCTTTTTGGTTAATTACATTCCTACATTAGTTCAACAGTTTACATATTCAAATATCATTATTTACTACTGTCTTGACCAATATCTTGATGTTAATATTTATACTGATTTCATTTATAGCAACACATAATTGATAGGAAATCTTTTTAAAAATTTCAAATTGAATTTTCGTTGATCGGATAGCACACAGAATGATATTTATATACAGTTCTTAATTATTGTATTTTAATTTATACAATGCACCATTTAAATTTTTTTTTTAAAATCATCTTTACTTTATAAAGGAACTCAATGACAATAGGAGCATTTGAAACTATGTTGTAACAATTCTGTTGTTGGCCATAAATTTGTGTATCAAACTCAGAAAGATCCACCAACTATAAGTTTCTCCCTTTGTGTTTTTGTTGGCTCTCCAACGTAAAAATGTTGTTTTGTCTGCAACATTCCAGTTCATTCTCACCCTTTAACCTTCACCAACTAGTAACTAGAATATATAAGCTCTATCTCTAGGTCTAAGATTTTATATCTTAATCTTGGGAAGTAACTTTGGCAGTCTGGATCTTCTATTTGCATAAACTGCCCCATCTAATATCACTGTTCTCAACAACAATATCAATATAACTTTCTGAAAGTTTGGATAAACTAGAAACTTTCCTGTCACTCCAAAATGAGTATCAACGCTTTCGTCTCTCCGATACAAAGACAGGAGTTGATGACATGAAACAAAATTTAGAATAGACAGTCAGTTGACAGTGACAGAAGGTAGAATAAAATGGAGTTTTACATCCTACAATACTTCAACTTACTAGACAAATACAGACTAGTTAGCTAAATGAGTAACTATATATTTCTAAAGTGGTAATTGTGGAATATGATTGACTATTGACTATAAACACAATTATTAAACCAGTAGTTTGTTTTCTACCAGTGTCTAATAAATCAATAAAAACCAATCAATATAACTTCTCACTAGTCATATCGATTACCCTACAATTACTTTATATAGTCCGATTAGATTTCAATATTCACCTTATACCTTACTTCTTCTGTCAGGTAATAAATATTCATATATACTCGTTTAATTGAGATAGTATTTGAAATTCGAATCATTTCCTAATTCAAAGCCAGATCCTTATTCAACTACGCTAAAATTTTTTTTACATATCATAAAGCATAAACCAAGCTTATTCCATAATGTTAAGAGCAAAAATTTATTGCAAGAAATTACTTTTTACATTTTAAAATTTGAAGAGCAAGGTTGAAGAACTTTATATTTGCACTATGTAGATCATGTGGTTTGAATTCTGTATAACCAGAATTTAGAAGTAAGTGATATTTTAATTATGTAATGCCTATGATAACCCAATATTCCTAATATGGTCATTTTGATTGATAAGGAACTTCAAAG